CTTGCGTTTCCTCAAACACGCCAAGCATACTCACAGTGCCTAAAAGCCAGGAATCTTCCATGAGAAATTTGTACTTTCAGGTGTTTCAACTACTGTGATCGTAGTGTTCTGTTTTTTTCTCTCTGTTTCTGAGAAACAGAAACCATTTCTTTTATTTGGTTATATGGATCACAAGGATGAGAATAATTCTGATTCAATTAAGTAATGTAATTAGTACTAATATTTTAATTGTATAAGATTTTATGCAGCTTACAGATTTATTGTCTAGGTACCAAAATTGCTAATTTAAATTAGTTGCTTTGTTAGAAGTTGACATCTCTGAGGCCAAGCACAGTCTCATGTAATCCCAAAACTTTGGGAGACTGAGACAGGACGAGTACTTGAGCCCAGGAGTTTGAGACCAGCCTGTGCTATATAGTAAGACCCCTCTATCCACAAAAAATAAAAAAAATTAGCAGGTTATGGTGGCATACATGTGTGGTCTTAGCTACTTGGAAGCTGAGGTGGGAGGATCACCTGAGCCCAGGAAGTTGAGACTGCAATGAGCCGTGATCATGCCACTGTACTCCAGCCTGGGTGACAGCAAGATTCTGTCTCAAAGGAAGAAACAAAAAAGAAATAAAGAAGGAAATTGACATCTCTGAGAAAGCTGTAAATCTCCAGTGCATTTCAAAGATTTAAACAATTTTTTTCGCTTATTGGATCTTGGGAATTCTTAAAGCTGCCTCATTCTGTTTAACAGCTAGCTACATAATACTCTCTTGTAGGTGTGTATTATAATTAATAAGCATCACCAATAAACACATAAGCTATTTTCAGTCTTTTTCCGCTATAAATGTTCTTTTTTATCACTCTTGTGAGATTATATCTGCAGGATGAATTTGTAAAAGTTGAATAGTTGGGCTGAGTGCAGTGTCTCATGCCGGTAATCCCAGCACTTTGGGAGGCCAAGGTGGGTGGATTACCTGAGGTCAGGAATTTGAGACCAGCGTGGCCAACATGGAGAAACCTTGTCTCTACTAAAAATACAAAAATGAGCCAGGCGTGGTGGCGGGTGCCTATAACCCCAGCTTCTCGGGAAGCTGAGGCAGGAGACTTGCTTGAACCTGGGAGGTGGAGGTTAGGGTGAGCTGAGATCTCACCACTGCCCTCCAGCCTGGGCAACAGAGTGAGACTCTGTCTCAAAAAAAAAAAAAAAAAAAAAGTTGACTTGTTGGGTCAAGAGTTCCGTGTATTCAAAGTATCAAATATATGGCCTGTTTGCTCTTAATTAGTTTTGTACCTGTTTGCATTCCTACCAGTAGTAGTTGACTGTAGGGGTTGGCAAATGTTTTTCTGTTAAGGGCTAGATGGTAAATATTTTGGGCTTTGCAGCCTGCATATGGTCTCTGTCGAAAACTTTTCTTTGTATATATTTTGGTCTTAGGCCAAAGTTGGGAAACTTTGGCCTATAGCATAGCTGTAAGACTTTTATGAAAACTTTGTCATTACCAGCCTGCTGTGTGAACATGATATCTCATTGTTTTATTAGTTATGCATTTCTTTTGTTGAATCTTAGCATTTTGCTCCCTCTGAAATGTTTGTTTGAGCCCTTTGCTTTTATATATGTATTTGGTTGTCTGTATCTTTACTGAACTGTAGGTTCTATCTTTATCTTTTAAGGAAATTACCTTTGTGATATAAAATGAAGTAAAACCTTTTAAATCAGCTTATCTTTTAACCTTTTGATTTGATTTGTGTTTTCTCATCTCTAGCTATTTTTTAAGTCACATTTGATCTTTTATATTTTTATTTATAAATTGGTCTTTTATTCTGGATTTTTTTGGTCATGATTAGAAAGACTTGCCTCTATGACTTAAAAATATTCTTCCATAGTTTATTTAATATTACTAAAAAATTCTTCCATAGTTTATTTAATATTACTGTTTTTTTTAATGTCTAAACTTAGACACAGCTGTAAAATTTTTTGATGCGAGTCAGGGATCTCATTTTTCCATATGACTATGCTTTTTTTCAAATACTATATCCTGAATTTAAATGTAATGATATGGGGCTGGATGCAGTGGCCCACACCTGTAATCCCAGCCCTGTGGCAGGCTGAGGTGGGCAGATTGCTTGAGCTCAGGAGTTCAATACTACCCTAAGCAACATGGTGAAACTGTGTCTCTACAAAAAATACAAAAATAAGCCGGATGGAGTGGTGTGCACCTGTAATCCCAGCCACTCAAGAGGCTGAGGTGGGAGGATTGCTTGAGCCCTGGAGGTAGAGGTTGTAGTGAGCTTAGCTCATGCCACTGCACACCAACGTGGGCAACAGAGCCACATCTCTGTCTCAAAAAATGAACCAACTAACTAAATGAATAAGTAAATGTAGTAATATGGAAAGTTGCTTACAATATGACTTCTTAGTATTGACTTCTCATGCACTGTATAACTCAAAATTCTGACTACATAAACTTTGAGCACATGCTATGTGGTCAGCTACTAATGATGAAACATTCAGGTGGCTCACCTGTTCAGCATACATTTCATAAGATTTTAGCATCTGTTTTACTATCTGTTATCTCAATTGATTATTTTAGTAAGTACAAAAAATTTTTCCAAATCTGTTATTGCCTCTGCATTTATTAGCAAACATTCTTATGATAAAGCAAGCTTTTCTTCCCTTCCCTTTGACATTATGGACTCAAATCATTATTAATTTACCCTCACACTGTTTCTAATTTTCTGTTTATTTTTTCTAGCTCTGTGAGGAGGAAGAGTCATAGTTATCTCTTTTATCATTTTTATCCCCAGAACCCAGCACAACACCTACCACAGAGTAGTTTCCTAATAAATATGTGCTCAGTGAATGAATAATTCAAGCAGTGGGGAGCTATAGAATCTCAAAGAAGGGTGTAATGGGAAATGATTTGTATTTTGGGAAGGTAATTCTGGTGTCATTAAGGAGGAGGGCAACTTGAGCAAAGCTCAAAAAAAGAAAGAAGAAACAGGTTCTTGTCCTGTCATATCACCCAGGCTGGAGTGCAATGGCACAGTTATAGCTTGCCGCAGCCTCAAATTCTTGGGTTCAAGTGATCCTCCTGCCTCAGCCTCCTGAGTAGCTAGGACTCCATGCGTGAGCCATCACAGATTTAAAAAAAATTTTTTTAGAGATGGGCTTTTGCTATGTTGCCCAGTCTGGTCTTGAATTCCTGGCCTCAAACAGTCCTCAGGCCTCGGCCTCCCAGAGTGCTAAGATTATAGATGTGAGCCACCGTGCCTGGCCCAGGAAAGCTTTCATTTGGATTCTGTATCAGTTGGGACCTGATTACAGATGATTCAACTCAAATCAACTTAACAAGAGGAATTTATTAAATCGTCGAATCCAGAGAAGGATTAAAGAACCAGCCACATGAAGGATGTAACTGGGCTTCAGGAACAAAATAAGAGTAAGGGTGCCAATGTCACTAATATTTTTAGTCTTTACCTCACTCCGTTTTTATCAGTTCTGGTTTGTTTGCTCATGCGCCAATTAATGTGGTTTCGGCATAGAGTTCATAAAGATATGGTTGCTTCTTGAGTATCTATGTGGATTGAATTAGTATACCTTTGAAGGTATCGTAGAATCCAAGAGATGTGGAGTGTTAGAACTAGAGAACTAGGTGCTAAGTAGAAAAGATGGATTTGAGAGAGATAAGTAGTACAGTTGACAGAATTTGTCCAGGGGGAAATCTTGAGCAACTGCTGGTTTGGTGACTCTGTTAACCGTCTGAGGGAAATACAAGAAGCATATGCTTGGAATGGGAGGGAACATGATGAGTTTTGATTTTAGAGTTGCGAAGTTGGAGAACCTGTAGGAGCTAGTTGAATACAGACATCCAAAATCTTGGAAGAAAAGCCTAAGCTTAAGTTCTTAGGAAGTCAGTAGCAAAGGTAAGTTTTATGGAGGTGAACAGAATAGCTCAGTCTGAGTGTAAAAGTAAAGAGAACTGGAATCTTACAGAAAAACTAATATTGAAGCCATGTGAACAGAGGAAGAAGAGGATAAAATAAATTAACAAGCCAATTAAGGAAAGTAAGAAGAAATGAGTACCAAAGAACCCAAAGGAATTTTATCCACGAGGGATATGCCACTTAGGGATTGAAAAAAGTCAATTTGCTTTGACCAGTAGGAGATCATTGATGATGTTCATGAGAAAAGTTCCAGTGGAAAGTTGGGAGCTCATTATATTAAGCTCAAAGTGTTACTGATTCAGATGAAGTAGAAGCAAACTATGTAGAATTTTTTTCCAACAAGTTTGTGAAGGGAAGATGAATGAGAGCATTGTAGGGCTAGGGAGTTGCTTTGTTTTGTTTTGGAATGGGAGAGATTAGTATGTCTTAGTAGTTTTGAACAGTAAACAGTTTTTTACTCTGGGTTGGATAAAATTCATTTTTATGTTTAAATATTAACTGCTTTAAGTGTTTATTAGTGTTAGTGCAGAGAAAATGGGACTCAGACCCAAGACCTGAGTGCTAATCCCATTTTTCCCTGAATAATTGCCATAATAATTATAATTACCATTTTATATTCCCTTCTATATGTCAGTCATTGTGTTAGTAGGTCTTCTATACATACTATCACTAATCCTCACCACAAATTAATCTCCAAGGTGAGTATTATGCTGTTGTATAGATAGAGTCTGAGAGTTTACTTTTCAGGATTACATAGATTTCTAGGATCATCCTTTGATTTCAGCACAGATATGTCTGATTCTGAAGTTGGTGCCCTTTTCTCTATATCATGTAATTTTCCTTTGTAACCTGAAGTAGTTCTCAAGTTTTGGCTTCTCATTTCCTTAACTGTCAGATAGGAGTAGTCATATCTGTCACATCTGTATCAAAGTATTAAGTGAATACTACGGTAATATCTGTATTTTGTTTGAAAAAATATTTATTTGGTTAAATACCAGACTGACCATATCATTGTGGTCATCTTTAGCACTATCGTTTGTCTAAACAGTATTTTACTTTTTAAGGTGGTGGTATCATGGATACAGAAATGTCTGAAGATATAGACCACAACTTAACTCCTACCCTTGACAGCATGTCTTATGGAATGCCGAATCAAACAGGATCTGAAAATTCATTGCTGGATGAAGATGATTATTTTTTGAACTCTGGGGATCTTGCAGGAATTCCAGTCGTTGGTAGTGACAATGAGGATGAACAGGATTTTAGTTCAAAGGACAATCTTGTTTCTGCAATTCATACTGATGATAGCTTGGAAGTAGAGAGAAGAGTCACACAGCATGAATCAGACAATGAAAATGAAATACAAATTCAAAATAAGTTAAAAAAAGACTTTCCTAAACAGTTTGATCAGGTTTCTGTTTTTAAATCAATACGGAAAGATTTTAGTCTAGTAAGAGAAAACAGCAAAGAGACATTTTCTGGAAAGGAGAAAAATAGAGACCTAACTTATCATGAACGTGAAAAACGGTTGGATAAACCTCATAAAGATTTGGATTCAAGGTTGAAAAGCAGTTTTTTTGATAAAGCAGGTAATAATTATTGGAATTAGAACCATAAAACAATTAAAAATTACCGATCATAATACAGCTTTTATTACTTTTGATGTTAAGTGAAGTATGAACAGTTAAATTCATTGTAAGCTTGTCATTTTTCTTTTGTCCTTGTTCTTTGCAGAGTGACTGAATTTCTCCCAGTAACTTTTGGTAATGGTATAAATGGTTGAAAATAGCTCTAAACCTCATTTCTCCCTCCCCTGGTTGCAATGTTTTGATGAGAAAGGCAAGATACTTGAATCACCTGTTCATTTTCTTTGGTTGAACATTGGAACCTGAAGTTGGATTTAACTTCTTTGTGCTGTAAGCACTAATTCAAACTGCTGTCTCAAATTTAGTCCAAATTAGGGAGTTTTTATTTCATTTTTTAAAATTTTAATTTAATTTTTTGTTTATAAACTCTCACCTCTATCTGAAAGGGAGTTTTTTAAAAAAAACATTTCTAATTTATGTTTTAGAAGTTTCTTGAGGTTCTTCCTGAGCTTCTTTGCCCAGTGTACCCTATATTTTAGTTCTAGTTAACATTCTTGACTATATCGTATATTTCCTTCTGTGCTTTCCTTTCCTCCTGCTATTCCATTTGCCTGCATGTCATTTTCTCTCTGTATATTTGCCTGTGAAAGTACTTCTTACCTAGCAATACCTAACTCATAAACCTCTTCTACTCTGTCATCATTCTAACTGCTCTACATCAAGAATGAATTGTTTCCTTATCTATATTTCCACAGCATTTTCATGCCTCATTATTTATAGTACTTATCACACAGTATTATAGTTCTATATTTATTTTACCTTACCTACTAGTATAGGAGTTGATTGAGGGCCAGATTGTATCTTACTCATCTTTGTATTCTTGGGGCCTAACCTGGTGTAGTGAAATAGTAATTCTTCAATAAATGTTCAATAGCTGTGAAGGAAAGCAAGTATTCTATATCAGTCCTTGTACTTCTTCTAACACTGCTAGGAAATGTATGGTACAAAGAACAAACCAGTATTGTTAAAAAGAAAGCTTTTGAGTGTGTACAAGGCTGTGCAAGGATATACTATATTTTTCTCTATAATTCAGCATATATTTCCAATATTCCTTCTTGGGGTATGAGAGTCATGTTTCTCAAGGAACATAATGTCTAGTAGTAAAATGGACAAGACAAGTCAGGTGATAGAAATGCCAATGGCCAGCTGAATAGCATAAGATGTAATTTATAGTTAAAGACAATGGTAGAAGAGTTAGTCATAAGGCAGTTCAAGAAGATGTCTTTCAAATAACTGAAACAGTATGTTTTAGGGATTCTTAGAAGAGAGATGATTTTTAACTTAGCAGGAAAGGTTTTGTAGAGGAGAGGTAAATTTTTAACTGAGCTGAGTCTGAGAAACTATAATTTTCAGAGTAAAAATCTTTTTTTTTTAGGTTTCAGCAATGAAAAAATGTAGGATAAGGCTATAAGTTAGGTGGGGCCAGATTGTGCAGAACTTTGAGTGAAAATACCTTTTGGGTGTTTTTGGGACCCACTTCACTCTAATGAGCATCTTTGTTGGAAAAGAGAGGTGATTATCAAATGATAGCTTTTTAGGTCACTCTTTATAAGATTTGTTATTCATATACATGTGTTTGTTTGTTTTTTTTTCCTTTCAATAGCTAATCAAGTTGAAGAAACATTACATACCCATTTACCACAAACCCCAGAAACAAACTTTAGGGTAAGTTTTCAGTGTGTATGTAGATTGCTGTAACTGTGACAAGTGTCAAAGTTTTCTTTATGTCACTTTTTAAATTTTAACAATGTATTAGGTAGAGCACTGATTTTTTTTTTTTTTTTTTTCTCAAATTTGCTTAATATTTGGGTAAGGACATCTTTGGAGACATTCTAAAAAGCCTCAACTCTTAGGGTCTTTATTTGTATTTGGCATTTAGACATATAACACATTTACTTTTAGGCATAGGGACTCTAATGAATGTCCATAGAGTTCTTCATTTCCAATGAGTTTTTCTTTGGGTGTTAAACCTGAAGAGGAATCATTTTAAAATCTGACTATTTATTAATCCTTTATATTGTGTTTTAGGATTCCAGCTACCCATTTGCCAATAAAGAATCCATTGGTTCGGAACTGGGGAATTCCTTTGCATCAAATATTAGAATTAAAGAAGAACCTTTGGATGATGAGTATGACAAAGCAATGGCACCACAGCAGGGACTACTAGACAAAATTAAAGATGAACCTGACAATGCTCAAGTAAACATTTCACCTTTTTTCCCCTCCCCTTCTTTTTGTTCCACACATTGAATTATTCATTTGAGAGAGGAAGTACTTAGGAAGTGAAATAGTTTGTTGGCAGGGTGAAAGGAAACTCTTAAAGAAGGTTGAGGCGATTTGAATTATCTTATAAGGCATTAATGAGCGATACAAAACAAGGCTTTTAATCATCTTTGTTTCTTAATACCACTGTGATTTTTGCAATGCATTTTAGTTCAAGGATTTGAGATCTATACAGCAGAAGGTTTACGGTAGTTTATGGATTTGTGGTGCAATAAAGTTTATATAGGATAGTAAGCCTTTTGCAGTTAATGCTAATGAAGTACAGGCTATATATGGATTTAAATATTTTTCAGGAGGGGTTAATGGACAGATCATCTTTGGAAGGGTTAATTGATTGAAGAACCAGTTCATTGGATTAGTGGATAGAAGGTAAAGGAGGCTTTGATGAATGATACATGATTCCAAGTTTGAGATCTGTGAGTAATAAAAGTGAAGGTAGACCTCTGCTACTTCAAAGTTGCTCTAGAGATAAAATCATAGAGAATCCTGTAACTGTGAGTTCCTGAAGTCAGCTAAGTTATCCATGCAGTTAATGATGTTGCTGTTGTTGAAACAGAAGAAAAAAGTTACATCAGATACTGTAATCATTTTGAAGTGCAAGAAGGGGTCCAAGGGATGAATATACAATAGCAGCAATTATCTGAGGGTATCTCTGTTTTGTACAGATGGCATGAATTCAGAGGATTATAAGTAAAGATGGTATGAATTGGCTATTTTTCTGAAATGACATTTAATCTGGGGAAACCTTATATTTTCCTATCTTTCTATTTCATTAGAGGGTTTGAGACTGTCAGACTTCTGTGGAAGTGCTTGATTGATTGATTGATTGATTGATTGAAATAAGGTCTTGCCCAGCCTGGAATGCAGTGATGCAGTCACTGCTCACTGAAGCCTTATCCTCCCAGGCTCAAGTGATCCTCCCAGCTCATCCTGTCAAGTAGCTGGCACCACGGGTGTGTATCACCACACTGGTGAATTTTAAAAAATTTTTGTAGAGGGGCCTGACGTGGTGGCTCATGCCTGTCATCCTAGCACTTTGCAGGCTGAAGCTGGCAGATCACTTGAGTTCATGAGTTCCAGACCACATGGTGAAATCCCATCTCTGCTAAAAATACAAAAAGTAAGCCAGGCATGGTGACAGGTGCCTGTAATTCCAGCTACTTCAGAGGCTGAGGCAGGAGGATCACTTGAACCCAGGAGGTGGAGGTTGCAGTAAGCTGAGATTGTGCCACTGCACTCCAGCCTGGATGACAAAGCGAGACTCCATCTAAAAAGCAAACTTTTTTGTTTTTGTAGAGTAAGTTGCACAGGCTTTTGTCTGACTCCTGTGCTCAAACGATCCCCCTGCTCTGGGCTCCCAAAGTGTTGAGATTACAGGCGTGAGCCACTGTGCCTGGCCAAGAGCATTTTTCATTTAGATGTTTTTGGACAAGATTTCTCAAACTCGACAGCATTGACATTTTGGACTAGATAATTCTTTGTTGTGAGGCAATGTTCTGTGCATTGTAGGATGTTTAGTAGCATTCGTGGCCTCTACCTACTACATGCCAGTTGCAGCCTTCTTCCTTGACAATTGTAACAAAAAATTATCTGCTATTGAGGACCACTGTAATAGAGTAAGCAGATAGAAGAATAGGAGATTGTAGAGGTAGGTGATTCATGTGAGTCAAATTGATGCTCAGCATGAATTCCATGATGTCCAGTGGAAGCTGGCTATCTTAGGGTACTGATGGTCAAGCTATAGGAATTGGATGGATATGAGTATAGTTGCTACACAGAAGAAAGTAGAAGGAATACGGATAGATTTTTCTATTCTATTTGAATAGAAGGTAAATAAAAGCATGTTTGTAGAAGTAGATAAAATGGAGATCTTAGATATCTAAATTAGGGATAGTTAGATGTTCCAACACCTGGGAAAGTTCATTTGGCAGTATATGCTTCAGAAGACTACAACCATGTCTATATGAAGGGCAGACCTTGTATCTCTTCTCCTGCCCCAATGTGGACATGCAAAATAAGATTTCTTATGTGGACATAAGAAATCATAATGCTGGCAGGGTACCAAAAGCATCTCTTTCTTTTGTACTTGACCCATGTGACACTTCCTTGGGATAAAAAGTCGCTTATAGCATAGACCAAATACAGTAGGAGTAGAGAACACTGAGAAGGTTATTAGTATTGTTGTTTTCATAACAATCAGAGAGGTTACAGTGGCTAGAGAATATAAATAGGATGGAATAGATAGAAACACTGAGATTTTTATACACTTATTCAGAATTATAAAATGTGTTATAAAATGCTGAGTATGAATATGAAGTTTCATCTTGGTTGTGGGGAAGAACTTCCCCAGAGGCTCACTACCTGATTGATCAGACTTGAGAGTTAAGCAGTAATGTGAGTAGGTCCCAGGCATAAGATCCAAAAGTATTCTTTACCCTGACACCACAATAAGGCAGTTGCAGTATATGAGTGGATAGAGCTAGGCTTTCCCTGAGGAGTCTTTTTTGTCAGCCACCAGGATCAGACCTTTGATAATTCTTCTAGAAATCTCCCAGAGCAGCTCTCATGTTATAAACTAGATACCTGATTCTTTCCTTCTTTTCTTTTTCTCGTCTTTCCCACACCCCTCTCCGCCTTCCCTCCTTCTTTGAGAGGAGTATTGCCTTTCAGTATTGCATAATGCTTTATTACTCTTATTCATTTCCTATGGACTGGAAAAGGGAACTCTAGTGTATTATTTTAGTAGTCTCAAGAAACTGCTGTTAGCCTCTCGTAAAGTACTGATAGGTTTTACAGCTGTGGTCAGCGTTTACTTTTGACTATCAGTTACCAGTAACTTTTTTCATGGTTCAATAAAATCATAGCTTTAGTTTATAGCACCTTTTCAAAACTTCCCTTGGCTTTTCTTTATGCTTAATTTAGGTAGTTTAAAAGCTCACTTCCTAATTCTCCGTTTTACACAATTCATTTTGGTCATAATTTCTTTACTTTCCTATATAAGTCACCAAGGTGCTGAAATGTATGTATATGTATTTAACTTCTACCCATTTGCTCTTGGTTATTTCTTCAGTTATGATATCATGGATTTGCCAGTCATCGTCCTCCTGCCTCTATTACTGGCATAATGTCATTGGGCCTCTCAGTTTCATTTCTTTGTTCTAATTCCATTGCATGTTTCTATATTGTTTTCTGTAGTATTTTTACAGTTACAGATGCTTTTACATGTACTATGTTGCTTAATTCTCCTAACAACCCTATATAAGATGGCCAGAGTAGAGGATATTAACATTTATAGATGAGAGAGTTGAGATTTATAGAGATTAGTTACTCAAGGCCACATGGCCAGGAAGGAGCCAATCTGGGGTCATAATCAAAGTCTTTTTTTTTTAGTCTGCCAATCTTTCTTTAAATAAAAGTTACTTAATTTAAAAAATACTTAGAGAAGGCTTCAAAATAGATACTTTAAAAAGAGCCAGATACCTCATTTTCCCCTCTTCCATAGGTTCTAAAAACTGTACTCCTCAGTAAATACTACATCAAAATCATGATTTCTTTTTTATTTTTTTTTGCTCATAATAATAGAGGGAGAGCTAATGTGTAGTCTCTCATTGAAAGAACTCAATTAAAATGAGAAAGCAAATGAACTAATTATCATAATAGTGATTCATACAGTTTTGGAAAGATGTAATAATTCAAATGTTGCGGCTTTGTTTTAGCTATGTTGAGTTAATTTGGCACTAGAAACTGTATTATTCATTTCTAAAATACTTTCATGGGACGTTAATATTGATCTTCGTTTGTAGTAAACTAAGAAGTTAAAGGTATTGGTGAAAGAATTTTTTTTTTTGTTTGTTTTTACATGTGTTTTTTTGCTTCTGAAGGCTTTTCGGTTACCAATCAGATATTTACTTCTCAGAAAATATTTATTAATTATTTGCTAGTCATTGATTTGTTTATCAAATACTTGTAAAATTAGTCATTGTGGGAGGATACAAACATAAACCAAACATGATTCTGCCTTGAAGGCATTGTGGACCATGCAAACAGTAATTAAGATGTATACTATTTTACTATGTTACAAAAATAATATGTATTCAGGGCTTAAGGAATGCAGCAGAAGTTTGCAGTAGCCATCACAGAGACTGAGAGACCTGACTTTAGACTGTTAATGTATGCCATTGAGTATTGGTTGTTTCTGGAGTTTTCTGAGATTAAAATAAAAATATTTAAGGAAATTTTAGTGCACAGTATAATGAAGGAATGTCATGATTAGTCGATTTGAGAAAATCTTTTAATACTTACTTTTCATCTGCAGATCAAATAAGAGTACCTATAATAGTCACTTTATAGATGCCAAAAGACATCTCATGTAATTCATACATTTCTTACAATAGATTTTTTCTTGATCATGGTAAAAAAATGCCACTTCAGATCAATAACAGTTATTGAAGTTGAAGTAAAATGATAGAAACCTTCTGTTAATATTACTAAAAGAATACAAGTTGCTGATGTTATCTTTATTATTTAACTGTTGTTGGATTTTCACTCTAATCCATGTTAAAGAAATTAGAAGAAAAAATTATGGAAAAAGGGAAATAAAATTATCACTTGCTAGTAAGAATCTTTATGAAAGAATTAATGGAATTCATAAAATTTAATATAGTACCTACTTGAATTATACCCGTATTTCTATAAATAAATTTTCCAGTTAGATGATATAATGAAAAAGATATACTATTCCCGGCAGCAACTAAAAAGTGCTTATATAAAATACAACTTGAAATAATTGAGAGACCATATTTTTAAATGTAAGAAATATGAAGATGTCAGTTATTTTTAAATTAAGATTTAAGGCCGGGTGTAGTGGCTCACACCTGTAATCCTAGCACTTTGGGAGGCTGAGGCAGGCAAATCACTTGAGGTCAGAAGTTCAAGACCAGCCTGGACAACATGGTGAAACCCCCCGTCTCTACTAAAAATACAAAAATTAGCCAGACATGGTGGCAGGTGCCTGTAATCCCAGCTACTTGGGAGGCTGAGGCAGGAGAATCATTTGAACCTGGAAGGCTGAGATTGCAGTGAGCTGAGATTGAGCTAGCTTGGGTGACAGAGCAAAACCCTGTCTCAAAAAAAAAAAAAAAAAAAAGAAGAAGAAAAAATGCTCATTGTACATCAAAATGAGTACATTCCAAATGGACTAAAGCAGGAGTTGGCAAATTATCAGTGGTGGGCCAAATCTAGCCCTCACATTTTTTTTGTTTTTCCATCCACTGCCTTTATAAATAAAGTTTTATTTGAACATTGCCACGTTCATTACATATTATCTGGGTGCTTTTGCTCCACCAGAGCAGAGTTGAATAGTTGGGACAGAGACTGTATGGCCTGCAAAGTGGAAAATATTTGCTATCTGGCCCCTTACAGATAAAGTTTGCTGACCCCTGGATTAAAGGACTGAATTATTATAAACAGTGAAACTGTTTTCTTATTATTTTAATATGGAAGTAAAACTTTGTAAGAGAAGAAATCACAAAGGTAAAGACTGTCAGATTTTTTTGGCATAACAATGGAAACGTAAAATTTGAGGAAATGTTGATAACAAATGCTATTGAGAGTTAATATTGTTCCATTATAATGTACTTTTTGTAAATGAACATTAAAAAATAGCTACAAATTAAAACAAAGTGGGAAAAGACTTTTAAAAATGGCATTTTTTCCATAAATTACTGGAGTAATTATAATTAAGATTTTTTTGGGAGGAAAACCACCTGTCGTTATGTATCAAGAACCTTTACTGTGTACCTTTTTACCTAGTAATTCCACTTTAGTAAATCTTTTTTTAGGAGATAATCCTAAATTTGGGAGTATGAATATTCACAAAGATATTCATCATGACATTACTGATTGTAATAAATATGCAGAAACATTAAATGGACCAACATTGTATTGTGGTTATATAATCTCGGTGCCATGTGGGGCCACTGGAGCCTAAGGCAGAAGGAAAAAATCAGTAATACTGACTCAGTATTTATTTAAAATTTTGGTATTTTGTTCATCATGGACCTTGCATAAATTTGATTTTTAAAGATACTGTGTTAAAATATTATCTTGATTACTGAGGTTTTTGGCACCCCCTCAATTTTGTGCCTGAGGCATGTGCCTCATTCACCTCATCCTAGTCACATCTCTGCGTAATGTGTTATGTTTCTTAAATAATATATATTTGTATTTCTCAAATTTGAGTAATGTGCCAACACCCCCCAACCACAAAAAAGGAGATATATCTGAGATACTCCAGAATTCCAAGAATAAGTGGTCTTGCAGAGTTTTTGCATGTGTCAATATGATAAACAATATATTAAAATAGAAGTTAAAGCTATTATGTAATGATTTTAGAATGCAGTCATATAATTGTAAAAAGCAAACAGCACTGAAAAGTTGTAGTAGAACTCAAGTTATATGATGGTTATTCATGACTTAAAATATATGTACATGCACATAAAAATCATTCAAATAAAAAAATTTAAACAGCATTCTTTTAGAATTTTCAGACTATGTAGATGTCAGGGATTCTTGGACTTCAGTTTTAGAAACACTGTTATATTTAGCCATTAGGAGTTATTTTGGAATAATATATAATATACAAAAGTTCAAAGGATTCAATTGAGCAAAAAATCAGTTTATAAGAATGGTATATTTAGTATAATTAAAACTTATTAAGAAATAAAATCTCTGAATTGAGAAGAGGAAAAGGCTGGAAAGAAATATACCCAAAGAATAACAGTGGTTGTTTTGGGGTGATTGAAATATGATTAGATTTTTAACAATTTTTATTTATCTAAATTTTCTATAGTGATTGTGTATTACTTTTATAATAAGCAGTAACATAATACTTTAAAAAATTAAAGATGATTTTTTTCAAAAATAATTTATAAATATTTAGTAGTGTCACAAGTTAAGTAGATAGCTACTTTGATTTTTTTCCCTCTTATACTCCTAGCATATACATATTATACCCATATTTAATTATAGTTTGCTTGCTGTTTTGTACTTTATTATTTCTTATTAATATTATAAACATTTTCCACCTCTATATAGTGGTAGTAAAATGTCTTGAATGTCTGGATGTCTTTAGGTATTTATTCCTTTCTCTATGTATTTATTTATTTTTTTCTTCTTTAAAGGAGTATAGTCATGGCCAACAGCAAAAAACTCAAGAGGGGGAACTGAAAATTAGTGCTGTGTTTTCAGTCAGTGGCAGCCCTCTTGGTAAGAAACAGACCTGAATAAATGGATTGTGTATATTCTGACCAATATGAATGAAGAGGAAATTCTGCTTGCATTAATAAACTAGGCAGTTCTCTCTACCCACTTAGGATGCTTTTAAATTTTATATTGCATAATTACTGTTGGGTTTCAAGACTAGCTCTAGAAGAGAAAGAAAGAATGCATATTTAAAATTCATGGTAAAAAGTAAAACATTTTTTTCTTTCAATTTTTTTTTTTTTTTTTAAAGCTCCACAGTTGACTACTGGCTTTCAGCCCTCACTGGCATCATCTGGCATGAATAAAATGCTTCCTTCAGTTCCAGCCACAGCTGTTCGAGTTTCCTGTTCTGGTTGTAAAAAAATCCTCCAGAAGGGGCAAACTGCTTATCAGAGGAAAGGGTCTACTCAGCTATTCTGCTCCACACTGTGCCTCACTGGATATACAGTTCCACCTGTCCGCCCACCGCCTCCTCTCACCAAGAAAACTTGTTCAAGTTGCTCAAAGTATAGCAGAATTCTAAATTATCTTTTTTGTTTCTTTCCTTTCTGATAACATACTTTGTTCTTGCCCATGTATTACGTTTGGTAGTCTACATTTATTCCTTCTTTTATTTTGTTATTTTTTGAGAAATATCACATTATTTTCTGTCTGCTTTCTGTTGTTGCTTTTCAGTCTTCCAGATGCTAGGTGCTCAGCTTGTTTTTTAGCTTTCAATAATGTTACTTTTATGTATTGTTTTTAAAGTCAGCTCTCCCATCCTTGCTAGTTGAAGTACCTAATATAACAAAAAGTACACATTTAGGGGTATTGTATTACAGCAGTATTTTATCTTGTAACTATAGGCAACAGAGATTTAAATCCAACAAATATTTAAAGTTATATTTTCTGTTATGTAATTGGAATTTATTTAAATTTTTCTTCTTAACCTTAAATGGCTTCCAGCATATGTATTTTTATTTTCTCGGTATCTCTGAACTACCTCAGAGTGTCCAATGGAATATTTAATAACAAGAAAGGGATATGACCTTATCATTTTAATAAGGTCATCCTGATATATTTGAGGAGTATGAAAGGACTTTGACTAATTTTGTGATTGTTAGAAATAGTTTAAATAAGTTAGAAAAAGAGAAATAGTGTTCTTGTTCTGAAACACTCTATTACCAGGCTACTCAAACATGATTCATTTATTACTTAGGGAGTAGTGTTTATAGTTCTTCACACGGATGCTGCACTTTGGAGAGGAAAGAAAGATACTCGTCCTAATTAAGAGATGTTTAAAATAAATTTAAATATGGCTAGAACTTTCTCTGTAAAATAGTTATATGCACATCGTTTATGTTCATTTTTTTTGAAATAACTGAAAGGGTAAAAATGATTATATTTGAGGCAGGTTAAATATACACTGTAACAGATATACAAATGTAGATTGGACTTCAGTTTCCTTTGGGATTTCTATTTTTATTGTAGAATTGTTGCTATTTAAAAGAACTATAGAAACTTCTGCAACTTTTTGTTTTGGGACTATCTTTTAAGCTAATTACACATTATTTTGAATAGCTTCTGTGCTATCAAATTTTTATCTCCTAAGTGCTTATTTACTGTTCACAGGTGGCTAAAAGCCATTTAGAACCATGTATATTGATTAAAGTGTAGAATAATATATTTTTTTATTTTTGTTCAGAAATGAAAATTGATTTAAGATTGGTGCTTTTGTGGCTTTCAATGTCTTTTGTGAAGAAATTTATAAAAGAGAATTTAATAAAAAATACATCTTTGAGTTATATTCTCATTGTTAGAATAATAATTATCCCAGAGCTACTTTGAATGATAGATTTT